AATGTAATTAGCATCATTGAGCTGTGCACATAAAACATGGTGAAGACAGTACATTTTACGTTATGTGTGTTTTACCTCAATTAGAAAAAAGATCTACCACTGACATCATTTCATAAAAGAATGGTTATTTTAACACCAAAGAATTAATTAGGAAAGAAAAATAATCCTGTAAACGCAATACGTTTAGCTTCATTTAAAAAAAAGTATTTGGAGATCACTGCATAAGTGAATGTTATCAGAATGTGATTGCTGTTTATGGAAACTGTCAGAAGGGAGGGAAGATTCTTTTGTGGATGGTTGGGCGTAGGGTTGGCCAGAGGACCTCTAGGACAGGGTGAAAACTCAAGTCAGGCTTTCAGGTTACATCCGTCCGTTTTGAAGATGAACTTTGAGGACCGAGTGGTTTTGCCACTTTCTGAGGCCACCCGTAAAAGCAGTTTGAAGGGTCAGCTCTGAGGCATCAACATAGATCTCACACCCTGCATTCGTTGCATGGTCTAGAATGTCAAGGTCTGGGTGGAGGGCATAGGAGGTGAGTTTCCCAGAACCTTGGATGAATTTCCAGCTCTTGCCATTTTCTGGGTATGATGATGTTCCCAGTCTCAGACCTCTGTGCCCCCATCAAAGCAGGCTGAGTCAAACTGGTGCACAGAAAGAGAGAGAGAGAAGCTTAAGAGAGGAGCAGTAGGCCAGGCACAGTGGCTCACGCCTGTAATCCCAGTTTGGGAGGCTGAAGCAGATGGATCACCTGAGCTCGGGAGTTCAAGACCAGCCTGACCAACATGGAGAATCCCGTCTCTACTAAAAATACAAAAAATTAGTGGGGCCCGTGATGGCACATGCCTGTAATCCCAGATACCTGGGAGGCTGAGGCATGAGAATCACTTGAACCTGAGAGGCAGAGGTTGTGGTGAGCCGAGATTGTGCCACCGTACTCCAGCCTGGGCAACAAGAGTAAAAATTCGTCTCAAAAAAAAAAGAAAGAAAGAAACATCGTCTCTACTGAAAATATAAAATTAGCCAGGTGTGGTGGTGCATGCCTCTAATCCCAGCTCCTTGGGAGGCTGAGGCAGGAAAATTGCTTGAACGGTGGAGGTGGAGGTTGCAGCAAGCCGAGATTACGCCATTGCACTCCAGCCTGGACGACAAGAGTGAAACTCCGTCTCAAAAAAAAGAAGAAAGTGAGAAGAGTAACAAAGCTGAGTCCTTGTCCTTACTGAAGTCGCCAGTCTGGAGTGTGCTTGTATGTGACACCAACAACCGTTTTCTTATTTTGCCTTCTTGGGGACCCATTTCACAGGTGAGGAAACTAAGACTTCATGAAGCCCTTGCTAAGGAGTCTTAGCCTCAGAGGCGGCCCTTACCAGTGAGCTTGAATCTTCTCAGGAGTTGATGTCTGAGGATCAACATTGGGCAAGTCATGTCACCTCTCTGAGCCTTCCCTAGTTTCCTCATTTGAAAATTGGAGCCAAATTCACATTCTTCCCTTATCCACCTGCAGGCTAATTAGGAAGGCCAAATGTCAAAAGACTCATGAAAGTACTGGGTCAATGATAAAACATTGGACATATATCATAATTAATATGATTATTTTATGATTAATTACCATAATTAGACTGGACACAGTGGCTCACACCTGTAATCCCAACACTTTGGTAGGCCGAGGTGGGTGGATCACTTGAGGCCAGGAGTTTGAGGCCTGGCCAACATGGTGAAACCCCGTCTCTATTAAAAATACAAAAATTAGCCAGACAAGGTGATAGGCATCTGTAATCCCAGCTACTCAGGAGGCCGAGGCAGAAGAATCGCTTAAACCCAGGAGGCGGAGGTTGCAGTGAGCCAAGATCACGCCATTGCGCTCCAGTCTGGGTGACAGAGCGAGCCTCTGTCTCAAAAAAAAAAAATCACCATAATTATTGGTGGAGGTGCCTAAGGAGGAGCAAAACTGACAATAAAATATCAGTCCGTGAAAGTTCATACAGTACTTTAGAAATGAGTATTTATGATACGTCCATAGAAAAACACTTTTGTAGCCACCCCCTAACCAAAAGCAAAAGCCCTCACTAAGATGATGGAATAAAACCCAGGTAGATGGATTGAACACCAACTGGTGTCTGAGATAAAATGGAAAGGATAAGGCATATCTTCATTTGATCATGATCATGGACGCATTAGAGATCTGGCAGAGTGCGGAAATCCACCAACCAGCTTGGGATATCCCAGGAACGGCAAGAGCAGAGCTAAAGATAGGCGCTCAGGGCCACGAACTTCTCCCTGTATTGTGACCTGAACGACCACTCCAACTTGTGGGCGAGGAATCCCATGGAGACAGGGCGGGGATGTGGGAGGGTCAATGAAGGTGTTGTGAGCGACTTGTCAGTAATTTTGCCGTACTCAAAACCCAGACCAATCCGTTCTCAAGATGCTAGAATAAACAGGCCTCATTTTGTACCCTTTTCCGCCAGCCCAGCTGAGTATTTCCAAAGCATATAGGAAGCATCCACTCTGTGCTGAGTGCACTTTTCCCTGCTTTGAAGGAAACATATGGGATTGAGTCTGGCCCGTGCTCAGAGCCTCTAATCCTAGGGAAAGAAAGGAAAGAGACCAGCGTGGTTTGAGTGCTGGTTCCAATCTAAGCTCCACATTCAACCTGAGATGCTGCAGGCAGGTGACTCCACCCCTTAGCGCTCCAGTGTCCTCAGCTCAAAATGGGATTTCTTTTTATTTATTTATTTTTGAGACAGTCTCACTCTGTTGCCCAGGCTGGAGTGCAATAGCATGATCTCAGCTCACTGCAACCTCTGCCTCCCGGGTTCAAGCGATTCTCCTGCCTCAGCCTCCCGAGATGCTGATACTACAAGCACGCAACACCATGCCCAGCTAATTTTTATATTTTTAGTTGAGACAGGGTTTTACCATGTTGGCCAGGCTGGTCTCAAATTCCTGACCTCAAGTGATCCACCTGCCTTGGCCTCCCAAAGTGCTGGGATTATTAGTCGTGAGCCACCCCACCTGGCCTCAAAATGGGATATTCACAGTTCCTACATCACAGAGTCTTTGGTAAGACAACATGAGTTAAGACATGTAACATACACAGAGCAGGTCCTGCATGACATCTAAAGCCAGGATATTTTAGCCACTATTTTGATTACAAATAATATTCTCCTCCTGGGGGGTCTTGGAGAGCAGTGCCACTCAGAGTGTGGTCTGTTCACCAGACAGTTTGAGAACCACTTGTCTGTCTCCAAGTAGTTAAATACGGAAACTGAACATGAGGTGTAACTTACCTGGTCATGGACAGGTTTACACACTCTGACCAGCACAGCGTCGCGTATGGACGGAGAACTTTAACTGCAGCCAGGATGTCTGGGTTCCAGGCCACCTCTGTCCCTTAATATTTTTAGGACCTTGCACATATGACTTTACCTTTCTGTGCCTTAGCTTCCTCATCTGCAAAATGGGTGGATAAAAAAGTACCTGCCTCATAGTATTACCACCATCATCACTGCTGTACCGCAGGATCTGTAATCTGTCCATTATCTCATCAAATCCTGCCACAAACACCGTGAGGGAGGGAACAATTCCTATTTATTCATGAAAGCACTGAGGCTTACTTATTTGCCCAGGGTCCAATAAATGGAGAAGACTGAATTTAAGTTCAAGTCTGTCTGATACCAACACCTTTATTCCTATGTAATGTGACTTTGAGCAGCTGACTTTACCTCTCCAAGCCTCCTGAGTTCATTTATAAACTGGAACTAAGCAACACTCACTGCAAAGGACAGTCATGAGGATCACTGAGACACAGTGAGCAAAGAGCTTAGCGCAGTTTCCAGCACATCAGTTTCCCTCCCTCCGTCCTAGCATTTGGCCTGTCTTCCTAATTTCCTTCCTTCCTCCCTGCTTTCCCTCTCTCTCTTCCTCCTTTCTTTTCTTCTCTCCTTCCTTCCTTTTGCCTCCTCTCGTAAAGCCTATTATGGACCCACAAAACTAGAGGGGACTGTTATGATTGGCTTTGTCCCCACCAAAACTCATGTAGAAATTCAGTCCCCAATGGTGTTGGGAGGTGGGGCCTAGTGGAAGGTGTTTGGGTCATGGGGATGGATCCTCCATGAATGGTTTGGTGCCATTCTCATGGTAGTGAGTGAGTTCTTGCTCTGATGAAACTGGATAAGTCTCATGGGAATGGATTGGTTCCTGTGAGACTGTGTTCTTATACAGCCAGGATGCCCCTGGGGTTTTGTCTGCTTTCCCGTTGACTTTCTCCTTCATGTCATGATGCACCAGGAAAAAAGCTCTCACCAGAAGCTAGTGCCGTGCCTTTGAACTTCCCAGCCTGTAGAATCCTGGACTAAGTAAAGCTCTTTCCTTTGGCTGGGAGCAGTGGCTCATGCCACACCCGTATCCTAGCACTTTGGAAGGCTGAGGCGGGCAGATCACTTGAGGTCAGAAGTTTGAAACCAGCCTGGCCAACCTGGTGAAACCCCATCTACACTAAAAATACTAAAAATTAGCTGGCTGTTTTGCTGGGTGCCTGTAATTCCAGCTACTTGGGAACTGAGATGGGAGAATAACTTGAACCCGGGAGGGAGAGGTTACAGTGAGCCGAGATCACAACTGCACTCCAGCCTGGGAGACAGAGCAAGAGTCCATCTCAAAAACAAACAAGCAAACAAAACCAACCTTTTCTCTAGAAATTACCCAGCCTAAGGTATTCTGTTATAGCAACACAAAAGAAGGACTAAAACTGGAACATTAAGGAAACTCCAGGCTAATATGGTCATTTAACTCTCAAAGGAACTAAGGCTCAGAGACATTAAAAGATCCACTTGAGGTCACACAGCAGGTGAGTAGCAGATTCAAGAAAAGGACACAGACGCCTGACTCCCAGTTTGGTGCTCTTTCTATAGGCAATGCTTAGAAGGGTCCTGAGTGAGTAGCAGGAGCTGCTGAGGCTGGGCCCCAAGGGAACCTTCTGACTCTCTGAATCCTCCCTGCAGCCTCATATTCCTGAAGCCCAACCTGGAGACGCTGGACTTCTTTGACTTGCTGTGGATCGTGGGGATTGCAGACTTTGTTCTGAAGTACATCACCATCGCCCTCAAGTGCCTCATCGTGGCCCTGCCCAAGATCATCCTGGCCGTCAAGTCCAAGGTAGGCCCTGGCTGTGGTCACTGGGTATCCCCAGTTACATGCATTATGCAGAAGATGCAGGGTGCCTTCTGAGGAAGAAAGAATGGATGAGGGTAGACTGATGTTGGCATATAAAATAAACAGAGCCTGAGCTCGTGGCCCCTGTCACCCACCTCTTCTAATTACACGAAGCTGAGCATGGCTCTTTGTCATCACCACCTTGTCACACCTCTACCCTCCAAGTGCATTTCATAACTTAGGTTGTTCACAGCTACGCTTGATGCAATTTTCATCTACATTTCACCTGAGAAAGAGGAAAAAAGCATGTTAGCATCCCTGGGTCCTACTTTTCCCAGGGAGGGAGGTGCCTAATAGATTTTGACTCTCTGTGGCTTCCACGAGCTCATTTTATAAAGGGGACTGAGGTTCAGAAGGAAAGAGCTCCATGATTGATTAGCGATGTCTGCCACAGACACTAGAGCAGGGAGTGGTGAGAACAGTGACGCTTTGCAGTGTACCATAGAGAAAGGTTTCCAGGCCGGTGTTGGAATGAAGAGGTCTTGGGGGATAACCATTAGGGTTCAGAGGACTGAGTAGGGCTCAGACAAGGTATCACCTGTAGGACATAGTGATTGCCAGTGGCTCTGTAGAGTGACCTAAAGGGAATCTGGGCCAAAGCAGACGGAGTAAAGAATCTTTGAAGTCTCCTGCTTTCCATTCTGTAAAAGCAGCCATCTTTCAAGTTCAGAAAGCTGAGAAGTGTCCCAGGCATTGCTTGGCAGCAGAGCAGCTTGGAAGTGACCAGTCTTGAGTGGCAACTGACCCAACCCATGATCCCAATCTTTGGGCCTGTTTAGGTCCTCCCACTTTTCGTGTCCACTCCCTTCCTCCACTGCATGATTTAACACAGTGGTCTCCAACCTTTTAGGCACCAGGAACCAGTTTCAAAGAAGACAGTTTTTCCACGGATCAGGGTGGGGATGGTTTTGGGATGAAACTGTACACCTCAGATCATCAGGCATGGGATTCTCATAAGGAGCATGCAGCCTACATCACCCATCGCGTGTGCAGTTCACTATAGGGTTTGCGCTCCTAGGATAATCTACAGCCGCTGCTGACCTGACGGGAGGCAGAGCTCAGGCAGTAATGCTTGCTCACCCACTGTTCACCTCCTGCTGTGTGACTTGGTTCCTCGCAGGCCACAAACCAGCACCAGTCTTCAGCCCTGGGATTAGGACCACTGTTTCATCTAGTGGAGCCAAAATCCTAGGCTTCTGAGGTTTCTTTTTGTTGTTGTCATTATGAAATTTTTTTTTATTGCATTTTAGGTTTGGGGGTACATGTGAAGAACATGCAAGATAGTTGCATAGGTGCACACATGGCAGTGTGATTTGCTGCCTTTCTCCCCTTCACCTATATCTGGCATTTCTCCCCATGCTCTCTCTCCCCAACTCACCACCCCCGACTGTCCCTCCCCTATTCCCCCCAACAGACCCCAGTGTGTTATGCTCCCCTCCCTGTGTCCATGTGTTCTCATTGTTCAACACCCGCCTATGAGTGAGAACATGCGGTATTTCATTTTCTGTTCTTGTGTCAGTTTGCTGAGAATGATGGTCTCCAGGTTCATCCATGTCCCTACAAAGGACACGAACTCATGGTTTTTGATTGCTGCATAATATTCCATGGTGTATATATGCCACATTTTCCCTGTCCAGTCTATCATTGATGGGCATTTGGGTTGGTTCCAGGTCTTTGCTATTATAAGCAGTGCTGCAGTGAACATTCGTGTGCATGTATCCTTATAGTAGAATGATTTATAGTCCTTTAGATATATACCCAGTAATGGGATCGCTGGGTCAAATGGAATTTCGATTTCTAGGTCCTTGAGGAATCGCCACACTGTCTTCCACAATGGTTGAACTAATTTACACTCCCACCAGCAGTGTAAAAGTGTTCCTATTTCTCCACGTCCTCTCCAGCATCTGTTGTCTCCAGATTTTTTAATGATCGCCATTCTAACTGGCGTGAGATGGTATCTCAATGTAGTTTTGATTTGCATTTCTCTAATGACCAGTGATGATGAACATTTTTTCATATGTTTGTTGGCCTCACGTATGTCTTCTTTTGTAAAGTGTCTGTTCATATCCTTTGCCCACTTTTGAATGGGCTTGTCTGTTTTTTTCTTGAACATCTGTTTTAGTTCTTTGTAAATTCTGGATATCAGCCCTTTGTCAGATGGGTAGACTGCAAAAATTTTTTCCCATTCTGTTGGTTGCCAATTCACTCTAATGACTGTTTCTTTTGCCATGCAGAAGCTGTGGAGTTTGATTAGGTCCCATTTGTCTATTTTTGCTTTTGTTGCCAATGCTTTTGGTGTTTTGGTCATGAAGTCCTTGTCTACTCCTATGTCCTGAATGGTTTTGCCTAGATTTCCTTCTAGGGTTTTTATGGTGTTAAGTATTATGTTTAAGTCTTTAATCCATCTGGAGTTAATTTTAGTGTAAGGTGTCAGGAAGGGGTCTAGTTTCTGCTTTCTGCACATAGCTAGCCAGTTTTCCCAACACCATTTATTAAACGGGGAATTCTTTCCCCATTGCTTGTTTTTGTTGGGTTTATCAAAGATTGTATGGTTGTAGATATGTTGTGTTGCCTCCAATGCCTCTGTTCTGTTCCATTGGTCTATATCTCTGTTTTGGTACCAGTACCATGCTGTTTTGATTACTGTAGCCTTGTAGTATAGTTTGGAAACTGGTAGTGTGATGCCTTCCGCTATGTTCTTTTTACTCAGAATTGACTTGGCTATGAGGGCTTTCTTTTGGTTCCATATGAAGTTTAAGGTGGTTTTTTCCAGTTCTGTGAAGAAGGTCATTGGTAGCTTGATGGGGATAACGTTGAATCTGTAAATTACTTTGGGCAGTATGGCCATTTTCACGATATTGATTCTTCCTAACCATGAACGTGGAATGTTTCTCCATCTGTTTGTGTCCTCTCTTACTTCACTGAGCAGAGGTTTGTAGTTCTTGAAGAGGTCCCTTATGTTCCTTGTAAGTTGTATTCCTAGGTATTTTGTTCTCTTTGTAGCAATTGTGAATGGCAGTTCGTTCTTGATTTGGCTCTCTTTAAATCTGTTATTGGTGTATAGGAATGCTTGTGATTTTTGCACATTGATTTTGTATCCTGAGACTGCTGAAGTTGCTTATCAGTTTCAGGAGATTTGGGGCTGAGACCATGGGGTCTTCTAGATATACTATCATGTTGTCTGCAAATAGAGACAATTTGGCTTCCTCCTTTCCTATTTGAATACCCTTTATTTATTTTTCTTGCCTGATTGCTCTGGCTAGAACTTCCAGTACTATATTGAATAGGAGTGATGAGAGAGGGCAACCTTGTCTAGTGCCAGATTTCAAAAGGAATGCTTCCAGTTTTTGCCCATTCACTATGATATTGGCTGTGGATTTGTCGTAAATAGCTTTTATTATTTTGAGATACGTTCCATCCATACTGAGTTTATTGAGGGTTTTTAGCATAAAGGGCTGTTGAATTTTGTCAAAGGCCTTCTCTGCATCAATTGAGATAATCATGTGGTGTTTGTTTCTGGTTCTGTTTATGTGGTGAATTACGTTTATAGACTTGCATATGTTGAACCAGCCTTGCATCCCCGGGATGAATCCTACTTGATCATGGTGGATAAGCTTTTTGATGTGCTGTTGCAATGGGCTTGCCAGTATTTTATTGAAGATTTTTATGTCTATGTTCATCATGGATATTGGCCTGAAGTTTTCTTTTCTTGTTGAGTCTCTGCCAGGTTTTGGTATCAGGATGATGTTGGTCTCATAAAATGATTTGGGAAGGATTCCCTCTTTTTGGATTATTTGGAATAGTTTCAGAAGGAATGGTACCAGTTCCTCTTTGTGTGTCTGGTAGAATTCAGCTGTGAACCCATCTGGACCTGGGCGCTGCTGAGGTTTCTTAGATGAAGCCTCAGCTCTGCTATCCAAAAGAAAGTGCCAGAAAATCTAAAATACAGCCAAAAAAAAGAGAGTGATATGGAGAAGAAAGGCCAGAGGGGAAACAATAGGCCTAGGAAAATCCTCCCGGTTACCCTCCCAGAGACCATGGTGACCAGAACCTTTTGCCCATTGAGCTCATGCAGGGTGCCAGGTCAGCACCGCACTTCACACTGGAAAGTGGCTTAAATGGGCTGCGCATGGTCATGTGCCTACTCCTTATCCAATCAGCTGTTGCCGGGGGAGGCAACGTTAGCTGGTGTGAATAAACATGGCTGCCTAGGGAGGCTTTTTCAACTTGGGCCTTGGTTGAGCCAGGCAAACAATGAGGCATAGTAGACCCATTTTCAAGAAGGAACTCAGGATCTTCCCCAAAGCTTGGGCCTCTTCTCGTTGTTCTAGATATCAGAGTGTAGCACCTCCCTCCACCCCACTGCTCGCATCAATAACCTGGAAGGCAGCAAGACCCAATGGCTGTGCCCATGGACTTTGGCATCAGCCACAACTACGTTCAGATCCCAGCCATGCGCCTCTCCAGCTGTGTGACTTTAGGCAGGTGACAAAACCTAGATTCCTCATCTGTCAACTGAGAATAACAATAGCGCCTTCCTCCAAAGTACTCACTTCATAAGAACGATTGATTGTGGGAAATATCAAGTGCTTTGCTCCACACCGTGCACCTAGTCATTGCTCAATGAGGGATTCACAATACCTATGTTGTCTAATCTTCATGACTGCCAGCTCTGCACTGACTAGCTGTGCAATCTTGGATGAGTTACTTAGCACTGAAGCTAAGTAACTCATCTGTAAAATGGGATAATAGTTTTCCAGCTGAATGTCCTCCTCTAGCCCTTTCAGCTACCCCCTCCATCTTTGTCACCCTGCTCTCTGCCTGGGGGGGCCAACCGGCGTAAACTGTATCAATGGGCTCCTGTGCCCATCAGCTTCCAGTTGGGTTCAGCCAATGGGAAGCCCAAGAGGAGAGGGAGGCAGAGGTATTTATGCCCCCAGCAT